CATGCACCACCATGCCCAGCTAATGTTTTTTGTATTTTTAGTAGAGACGGGGTTTCACCATGTTGACCAGGATGGTCTCGATCTCTTGACCTCGTGATCCACCCGCCTTGGCCTCCCACAGTGCTGGGATTACAGGCGTGAGCCACCGCGCCCGGCAAAAAAATTTTTTTAAATTAGTCTGGTCCGGTGGTGCATGACTGTTGTTCTAGCTACTTGGGAGGTTGAGGTGGGAGGATCACTTGAGCCCAGGAAGATGAAGGCCACAGTGGGCTGTGATCATGACACTATGCTCCAGTCTGGACCATAGGTTTCAAAAAGAGAGAAAATTAGAATTTACATCTGGGGGAAAAACCTAATAATCATATTCCTATCTACCTAGTGACCACCCCATGAAGACCCTAGTACAAGTTCTCATTGAAATCTTATTTTGAAATATTTTTGAATTTAAAAATATATTATTACCTTGGTTTTACAAATGTTTGCTTGTCTTTATGTTCAGCCACAATTTTCTAATCACAGTGGTTTTACTTTTTCCTTTCAGAAAGTGGAGCTGTTCCAAAAAGAAAAGACCCCTTAACACACACTAGTAATTCACTGCCTCGTTCAAAAACAGTTATGAAAACTGGATCTGCAGGCCTTTCAGGCCACCATAGAGCACCTAGTTGCAGTGGTTTATCCATGGTTTCTGGAGTGAAACAGGGATCTGGTCCTGCACCTGCCACTCATAAGGTATTCTGGAACAGTAACTTTAATTGCTGTGTTTTTGCAAATAGAAAAATTTTTAAGTTACTACACTTGCTTAAGTTTATTGTAGGTACTTTGTAATACTTTAGAGAATGGATACGTTTCCATAAAGTTAATTTTTTAAAAAATCCGCAGGGCAACTTGCCATAAAACTTTTTTTGGGCCTCATTAGACATTTAATGTTAAGTTTTGCTTACCCAGTCTGTTTTATGTAATGCTATGTATTTTATTTTAAATTTATATTTAAAATTATTTTAATCTGTATAAATGTTTTGTAACAGTAACATACCTAGAGTTTTGTCATTATTCTAACACGGGTTAAAATTTGTTTTTATTTTGTAAAAACTAAATCTCTGGATAAAATCCTCTATAACTGACATTATGCCAAATATAGTTCTCTAGTGAATACAAGTTGTATCTTCAGGTAAATATACAATTTCTGGATTTTTATACCCCTTTTTTCTATTTTTAAAGCTTGAATCCTGTGAACTTTAACTTATTTATGAAAAATGTAAATATTAGGTTGTATTTTCACATTAAAATTTTGTATCCTTTAAGGGTACTCCAAAAACAAATAGGACAAATAAACCTTCTACCCCTACAACTACTGCTCGTAAGAAAAAAGACTTGAAGAATTTTAGGAATGTGGACAGCAACCTTGCTAACCTTATAATGAATGAAATTGTGGACAAGTAAGTTTTGCCATCTAAATGTTTTATTTTATACTTTTTATTTTTCAGTTTTACTTAGAAAACATGTCATAAGTGAAATAGATAATAAATACCTTGTCCGGTGTACATAATTTTTATGATAGTTTTTAATTATTATAAATGTAGAAAATTATTACTGATTTATCTATAGTTTAACAGTTACATAAAATAACTGTATGTCTTAGGGTTTAGGCTTTATCTTGTAATAACTGGGTCCTGTTTTTATTGTAGAACTAACTGAGGTCTTGTTTCTTAGTGGAACAGCTGTTAAATTTGATGATATAGCTGGTCAAGACTTGGCAAAGCAAGCATTGCAAGAAATTGTTATTCTTCCTTCTCTGAGGCCTGAGGTAAGAACTTTATATTATCATTTTCTATAATACCATCTATTACTGAATCCATAGTAGTAGTAGTAAAGAAATATTTGGGCTATACTAGAATAATTCATATAAAGTAACAGTAGATTTAATGTTTTTAAAAAGACAAAACATTAACAATTGATGCTAAAAAGTTATTATAGACTAGGAAAATGGATATGAGCTCCTAATTTCCAATCCTTTTATATTTTTAGGAAAAGTGGATAATATGGTGTAATTTTGTTTTGTTTTGGAGACGGAGTCTCACTCACTGTGTCACCCAGGCTGGAGTGCAGTGGCATGATCTTGGCTCTCTGCAACCTCTGCCTCTAAGATTCAAGCACTTCTGCCTCAGCCTCCTGAGTAGCTGGGATTACAGGCATTCGCCACTATGCCTGGCTAATTTTTGTATATTTATTTATATTTACATATATTTATTTATATATATGTAAATATATAAAAATAAATATATTTATAAATATATAGAAATATCTCTATATATTTATATATATACATTTATATATATAAATATTTATAGATAGATAGATAGATATAGATATCTATGTATTTGTAGAGATGGGGTTTCACTACGTTGGTCAGGCTGGTCTTAAACACCTGACTTCAAATGATCCACCCGTCTTGGCTTCCCAAAGTGTTGGGGTTGCAAGTGTGAACCACTACATCCACCCAAATTTTGATACCAAGGTAAGAGAGATTTAAAATTAAGAGAAAGTACAAAAATTAGCCTAGCGTGGTAGCACACGCTTGTAGTCCCAGCTACTGGGGAGGCTGTAGCAGGAGAATCTCTTGAATCAGGAGGTGAAGGTTGCAGTGAGCCGAGATGGCACCACTGCACTCCAGCCTGGGTGGTGGAGCGAGACTCTATCTCAAAAATAAAAATAAATAAAATTAAGAGAAGGAAATCAGGCAGGTAGTGCCCCCTGACACAATGAGTTTTCCCAGAGTTGCATTGCTTGGGAATGCAGCCCAAAGTGTGTGGTAAACTCCATCTAAGGCTAAATACCAGTGTGAGACTTATAACAAGTACTTTGTGGGAAAGTTTTTCTAAGATTATTTTTAAAAAGAAAGAAATTGTACTGGAGAAAAGAGGAATTAAGGCAGAATAGTTCTTTATAAGTTTGAAGAACATTGTTTTTTTTGAGACAGAGTTTTGTTTTTGCTGCCCATGCTGGAGTACAGTGGTGCAATCTCGGCTCATTGCAACCTCTTCCTTCTGGGTTCAAGTGATTCTTGTGCCTCAGCCTCCCAAGTAGCTGGGACTGCAGGCATGCACCGCCACACCTGGCTAATTTTTGTATTTTTGATAAAGACAGCGTTTCACTATGTTGGCCAGGCTAGTTTCAAACTCCTGGCCTCAGGTTATCTGCCTGCCTTGGCCTCTCAAAGTGCTGGGATTACAGGGAGGGGCCACACTGTACCTGGCCTGAAGAACAATTTTTGTAAGGATTATTTTAAAGGATATTAAGTCATCAAAGTAGATAGAGCCATTAAATGATGGATAGGAACCTAATCTTCCATCCCATATTTTATAACTCATTAAGGAATATAGCTAATCTTGCAGTTGATGATAAATATTTGGTTTTCCATACTTAGCACCGTTTTGAATGTTTCCAATTCACAGATGTTGTATTTAGTGCTGTTCCAATAGTATTGCAAAAAATAAATCTGGGTCACAGTTATTTCACTGTTAACATTAAAATCTTAAACAGACCTATCTACAACATCTAGTGGAAATACAGTTGTGTGGCACATGGTGGTAGGTGCATTATTAAATGAATGTGCAAAGGTTGTGTGGCTGTATTTTTCCATAGTCTAGTCATTTACATACTACCTTCATGGTGTTTATCACTTGTGAGTGAGTACAAACTGTACTAGAACTTACTGAATATTTTTCACGTATATTTTACTTATTACTCGTTCTAAGTACATAAAATCACTGGTTTGATATGCTAGTTAGGTTTTTGCTAATACCCAATAAAATAATGAGAGAATTATTAAAATAACATTTGCCATTATGTGAACTGGATTTATGTCATGTACCCCCTCGGGTCACACTTTGGGAAACATATCTTACATGTTAAGCTAACATTTTGCTGGAGTGTTATATAAGAGTAATAAATGCTGTAGACTAAATATTGGGAACAAAAAGCTTGCTGAAGGAGGATTTACATAATTATAGACCTGAAAAGGATCTTAGCAGTCATCTGGTCCATTCATTGATGAAGAAACTAGTCCTAAGAGCTAAAGTGACGTGCTCAAGATTTCAGTTAAGTGGTGGAACTAGGAAATGTTTCTAAAATTAGAACTACCTCTTCAGTGCTATAGCTGCCACCTAATTCTTAAATGTGGGTTTTAGCATTTATTAAGGGACGTGCTTTTTAGGGTAGAAAATGTAGGTAAAATTGTGAAGGTAATACTAAGGAAATATTCAGGCTATGCTAGGAAAGTCATTCAGCTTTTGCTTTACCCAGGCATGTAGAGAACATATCTAAAATAGTAAGTAACATGTGAATTTGGATTTAGGCATATTTTCATTGTAGTGACATGGTGTGCAATTAAGAAGCTATAATAACGAACAAATGGCAGTTGAGAGTTTCTTCAAATGAGGTTGAATAACCTGACCTTAGGAGGGGCAGAAACCTTAGTAAACTTAGTAAATTGAAACATAAGGAAGAGCAGGATCTGTGATATAGCCAAGTCCCAGGGTTCATATCCTGGCACCCACTTGTCTGTACATCACCACACCTGCCAAATAGAACATTTTTTTCCTTCAGTTCAGATTTCCAAGAAAGGGATATTATTGCCCTAGCTTAGCTTTTCACAACAGACTCATAAAATGAATCATGTTAAGCCTGTGAATGGGTAAAACTTATCCCATAACATGCCTCCATTGTGCAAAAAAAATCAGCTTGATTCCTGATTCCCCATGGTAGGAAGCTTGCATGGACCACAATAGAGACATTGTTAGGTTAGATCAGGAAGGTGGGTGGCAGACATTCGTGGATATACTGGAATTTTTATTTCATTGCAGAAACATAGAATCATAATTAGTCATCTAACACTAAAACGTGTTTTAAGGAGGTAATACTAAAGATACTCACTTGAGTTAGATTGTTCTCAGAATTACTTAAAACAAGTGCTTTAATTCTTGCTCATTCATGATGCCATAGCCCTGGAAGGGGATATTGAAAAACTTCTCCATCTCCCTTCAATCACATAGGACCATGTTTTTAATTATATTTTAACATTAAATGTAATTTTATAAAGTTGCAAATATTAATCCTTGGGAAAAAACTCAAACTATACAGCAGAAAATAAAACATACCGTCTCACCCAAAAGCAGGACTACATTTTAAAGTATACTACGGTGATCTGTCTAAATATTTTTCTCAAATGTTTTACGAAGAAAGCATGTATTCTTCTGTCCTTATTTCATGGATCTCTTCCATATCCTGTGCAGCTTGTCTATCATTTTGAGGCTTATATTTCTTATTTTGTTCTTTTGCTGCTTAAATGTGACTCTGTGAGATTTTATAGAAGAATGTGATTGTTCTCTGGTTTTAAAAAGCTCTCCTCTGTCTACTAAAATTTCCATGAATTTCTTTTTTTTTTTTTTTTTTTTTTTTTAAATTGAGACAGAATCTTGCTGTGTTCCCTACACTGGCCTCAAACTCCTAGGTTTGAGCAATCCTCCTGTCTCAGCCTCCCAAGTAGCTGAAATTACAAAAATTTCCATGAATTTATAAATATGATGTTATTTTTCATATAACAGCTTAAACATAAGCCTTTTTTCTTTCAAAAATTGTAGAACTTGCCTCTCTTTGAATAATAATCTTATAAAGACATTTCTTAATTTTTGTTTCCTTTTCGAATCTATTAACTTGTATGTCATAGTAAATGAACCCTTAGCTCCATCATACCACACACCTCCTACTCCTGTCCTCCCACTTTTTCTCGCTCAGGCTGGAGTGCAGTGAATATTTAGTGCTTTTAAATATTATTCACTACCAAGCCAAGTAGTGTACTATTTTTCCCTTGTATAGCCTTTTTTTCCCCTAGAGTAGATAATTGTGTTATTTTTTCATTTTCTTCATTTTCATTGATTAATAATTCTTTTTCTTTTTTCTTTCTTTTTTTTCTAACTATAATATCCAGCTTATGATAATTCTTCTTTTCCATTTCAATCTAATTTCCATATGGCCAAACCAATCTAAAATCCTGTTAACTCAGGTCTTTTTTTTTTTTTCCAGAATACCTTTTCCTGGAACCACCTTCTTCTGTTCATTCAAGACCAGATGCTGTCTATGCCTCTTTCAAAGTGGTTGTTCTCTGATCTATCTTCATTACCATGATGAGAATTTCTTTTTCCTTTTTTCCTGTCTTTCTTATCTCCTGTTTTTTAAATTCCATGTTTTCCATTTTCATGATTTATTTTCTCATTTTGATGGCTACGTCTTCTAGTAACAGAAAAGGCGTGTGTGAGGGAATTTTTGAGATGCTATAGTTTTGAAAATATCTTTATTCTGCTGTCTTATCTTATTAATAATTTGACTGGATGTCAAGATTTAAGTTGGAATCTATTTTCCCTTAGTATTATGAAGGCATTATCTATTGTCTTCTAGCTTTCAGTGTTACTTTGTATTAGAGACAAAAGGTCAGGCATCAGGATAGCATTGGACTTCTTATTTCTATTTCCCAAAGCTTTTTGGATCTTCTCTTTATCCTCCTCTTCTGATATTTTACAATGATATTTTTCTTTTTCCCTCTTGTACATTTCTTTCTTTCTTTCCCTCCCTCCCTTCCTTCCTCCCTCCCCATCCTTCCCTCTCCTCCCTTCCCTTTCCTCCCCATCCCTTCCCTCCCTCCCCCCTCCCTCTCTCCCTTCCTTCCGTCCTTCCTTTCTTCCTTCCACCCTCCCTGTTTTCACAAGGAGTCTTGCTCGTGTCACCCAGGCTGGAGTACAGTGGTGCAAT